CAAGCTTGGCCACAAGACCCAGGAGGCTCCACAAATCCTGCAAGGCATTCACTGTCCCTGCAGGAGCCAGAGGCAACCATGCCCAGCTGAGGAGCTGGAGGGGCCTAATGGTGCTGACGTGAAGGTGTCCCCCAGACATAGATGTCCCTCATTTGGGAGCCCTGGAGATTGTGGGTGCTCCTGCCCCACATGCTTATTGACACCATCAGCCTCTGTGTGGTCAGCACCAGTGTCAGGGGCAGGTGGTGAAGTCACAGTGACTCAATACTTCACTCTTGCCTTTGTCCAGAACAGAGTTCTTGTTCCTCCTGCAGTCTGGTCCCTGCTGGCTCATGGTCCCAGGCAGGAGGCAGGCAGCCTGCCTCACCACTCACCCTAGTCCCTGGACTCTTTGACACCCAAAAGCAGCAGCAGCAGCAAGGAAAGGTCAGAGGAGGGCAAGAGGCACAGCCTGGATCAGCAATGCTGGAGTAAGCCTGTCTTGTGGCAGGAGTTTTTGCCACTTGGAGTCCCCAATTCTGGTCATTTGCAAGGGTGGGGAAAGTAGGAAGACCTCAGGTAGTTGTATACCAATTGTGAGGGCACCCATTGCACTCATATTAATCCAAAATGCAAATGCTCAAAAGTCAATACAAAGGCTGGCGCCGCGGCTCACTAGGCTAATCCTCCGCCTAGCGGCGCTGGCACACCAGGTTCTACTCCCGGTCGGGGGGCCGGATTCTGTCCCAGTTGCCCCTCTTCCAGGCCAGCTCTCTGCTGTGGCCAGGGAGTGCAGTGGAGGATGGCCCAGGTGCTTGGGCCCTGCACCCCATGGGAGACCAGGAAAAGCACCTGGCTCCTGGCTCCTGCCATTGGATCAGCACGGTGCGCCGGCCGCAGCGCGCTGGCTGCGGCGGCCATTGGAGGGTGAACTAACGGCAAAGGAAGACCTTTCTCTCTGTCTCTCTCTCTCACTGTCCACTCTGCCTGTCAAAAAAAAAGTCAATACAAAATATAATTGTAGAGGAGGAAAAGGAGGATGGAGGATGGAGGGTGGCATGGATCTGGGACCTTGTCCAGTGGGTGACAGAGGCACCGGGACATCTGAGCCCATGACATACCTCCCACACATCTGTCCTTTTCTCTTGATCCCAGAAGAGACCACAGGTCCCCTGCTAGGGGATTCTTATTCCTCAGGAGGTTGGGAACCCTCACCCTGAGACCTGCTGATCTAGGAGGGTGCCATTGTGACTGTGCTCCATGATGTCATCATTGCCAAGCACTGCTCCTTCCATATTCTACAGCAGTTAGAGGACACTCCTGTGTCAAGTGACCGGCTGAGCTGGAGTTTGTTTTCTAGGCAGCAAGCAAGTTCAGGACACGGGGATGGATTCAGGTCCAGGTGAGTGGGACGTGCTCCCTTCATGTCATGATGATTTGGGGACAGGTTGTCCCAGCTGTGTGGGCCTGGCCTCTCCTGGTTACTGCAAAGGGCCATGCTGCCTGAGTCTCTCTCTCTCTCTCTCTCTCTCTCTTTCTCTCTCTCTCTAGCAAGTTTTCCAGCTACAAAACATGAAAAATTGGATTCTCTTTCTAATACAAACAATGGAAATGTAGAACCTGAAATCAACTATGCCACTTTCAACTAATATGAGAAAATGAAATGCTTATGTATAGTATTAACAAAATATGTATAATATTGTACACTATAAATAACAAAATACTGATTTAATAAAGGCAAAGTACATCTAAAGAACTGGAAACCGTACTGTGCCCATGGATTACAGGATAAATGTAATAAAGGCACTGGTTTCCCCAAAATAGTAAATAACTCTAATACAATTCCATCACTATCCCAACAAGATTTTTGTAGGTCTAGGTGAACTTATTCTAAAATTCATATGGAGAGTTAAGACAGTCTTGGGAGAGTGGGAAGAACAAAGTGGGAAGATTCACTGCAGTCAATGTCAAGTCTCACTCTGTAGATGCAGTAATCAAGAATTTGTGACACTGGGAAAAGGACAGACTTAGACAAACAGAAAAGAGAACCCAAATAGGCCACACAAATATGCTCAATTGAATTTTTTTACTCAGTACCACAGGGAATTCAAAAAAGGATAACATTCAAAAAGTGGAGTTTCCCTGCCTCTGTTACACATCAGAGTGCCTGTGTTTGATGCCTGGCTCTGCTCCTGACTCCAGCTTCCTGCTACTGCAGACCCTGGGAATCAACACCAAGGGCTCAAGTAATTGGGTTCCTGCCACCCACATGGGAGGCCTGGAATGAGGCCCTGGTTCACTGCTCTAGCCTGGCCCTGCCCCATCTGTTGCAAGGATTTCAGGAGTCTATCCATGGATGGAACATATCTCTGTCTCTCCCTCCTGTGCTGTCACTCTGCTTTTCAAATAAATATATAGATCTTTAAAATATCTTTTAAAGGAAAAATACAGGACTCCAAGATGAATTTTCTCAACAGTTGACCAATGCATAATTCATGAGTTTATTTAATATTCTATGCAATATTTAGATGCATTTGCATTTCTGATCAACCCAGATCAATTCACATGTCAGATGAATGGAAAAAAACATAACAAATATATTGCATTCCATGGAACATTGGGGATATGATTACACTAAGGGGTCTTTCAATGTTTATGTAGCACACAAATGGAACTGGGCATTTGCTATTATTGTTTCAGGTACTTCTGTTTTTTTCTTGGCTAAATCTGGCAGCCCTATCAGGCTAAACTTGGATGTAGGGCCTTCTCTATACCAATTTCACCTATGGCAAGTGTCAGACTGTCTTTTTTCCTCTCTGTAAAGTGGGGGTGATGACTTTTATTTTGCAAGGCTGCAAGCTTCCCAAATCACACAGCTCCACTAGCTGTTGTTGGTGGTGAATGCTTAGCAATCAACATGCATGTCTGGGGATGATGGGTGGATCACTGAATCTTTTTTTAAAAAGATTATTTATTTAAAATGGAGAGAGAGGGAGAAAGGAGGAGATGAGGGGAGAGAGAGAGATAGAGTGAGAGAATGATCTTCCATTTGTTGGTTCACTCCTCAAATGGCTAAAACAGAGCTGTACTAGGTCTTGAGCCAGGAACTCCACTGGGGTTTTCCATGTGGGTGGTAGGGAGCCAAGCACTCAGGCCATGCCTCACTTCTCTCCCAGATATACACCAGCTGGATCAGGCACAGAGCATCAGAACTTGAACCAGCGCTCTGACATGGGATGCTGGCATCACAGGTGGTGCTTTAACCTGCTGCTTCACAACACAAGTCCCTAATTAAACACATCTTGCTTGTTACTGTATCCCTGGGTTAAAGCAAGTGAATACTAGCAATGTTATGGGCAAAATTATTTTTCACTTAAATTTTGCATGTAGGCATTCATTCCAACAGCAGAGAGCCAGCAAGCTTTCATCTGATGGTTCACTCTCCAAATACCCACCACAACCAGGGCTCGGCCAGGCCAAAGCCAGGAACCAACAACTCTGTTCAAGGATCCAATCACTTGAGCCATCACTGTTGGTTCCCAGGCTAAGTATTGGCAGGAAGTTGGAGTCAACAGCCAGTTGCAGGACTTTACTCCAGCACTCCAGAGTGGGACATGGGCTTCTTAAACTCCAATTAAGCACCTGCCCCACAGGTAAACCTAAATGGCCTGTGGAGTTGGCAGGGCCAGTGTGATCACACCCTGTGTGACATGACAAGTGATAGAAGTGGAGGAGGCAGCTCCAACATCCTGGCTTTGCCTTCACTTTAACCACCCAGCTGGCTTTTCTGGGATCAGCTGGGAGCTCATTTCCTCCACTAACTGAGCTGGGATGTTTCCCAGATGCCTCCATGCTCATTTTAGAAGAGATGACAATGTAATCCTATGTGTCATTGCCTGTATGTGCGGTAAATGCTGAATTTCTAGGAATGAACTTTTGCCAACACCTGCTCAGTGTCAGGGTTTAGGCTTTTTATTATGTTATTCATTTATTATCATTATTATTATAAGAAATAGAGACATAGATATCTTCAAACTGCTGGCTCAATCTCCAATGCCTGTAAGAGCCAGGCCACGGCAGGCAGCACCCAGGAGCCTGGAACTCTATCTGGGTTTCCCACATTGTTGAGCCATCAACTGCTGCTTGCCAGGGTGTGCACTAGCAGGAACCTAGGGTTGGAGGCAGAACCAGGCTTCAAACCAAGGACTCTGATATAGGATGTGCAGTCCCAAGGAGCGTCTTAACCTTTAAGCAAATGCCCACCCCCAAGTGTGTATCTTACACCACTCTAATGAGAATCAGAGAAGGGAAGTGCAAAGGAAAAAGCCTGTGTTTAGAGTGAGATGGGCCCAGGTTCTCAATGTTGCTTTACTGGTAGCAGCATGTTACTTTGTCAACTCTCTTCACCACTGAGCCTCCATATTCCCATTAAATTAAGTAGAAAACGGAGGCACCTTGTTCATAGAGTTTATTTCTGCTTGTATGGTTTACATGTTTCAGGTGCCACACAGAACATTCTAGGTTCATTCATGGCCTGAATTGTGTAGGCAGGCTCTGAGATAGCCACTGTTGATCCCCACCTCCTGGTACAACTTGTTTTTTAAAAATATTTGTTATTTATATGAAAGGCAGAGTTTCTCTCTCTCTCTCTCTCTCTCTCTCTCTCTCTCTCACACACACACACACACACACACACAAACACATTTTCCATTCACTGGTTCACTCCCCACATGGACACAATGGCTGAAGCTTGGCCAAGATGAAGCTAAGATCCCAGAATTCCATCTGTCTTTCCCACGTGGTAGAGGCCCAAGCTCTTTGGCCATCACCTGCTACCTTCCCAGGGTGTGCTTAAATAGGGAACTGCATAGGAAGTGGAGTAGCCAGGACTTGAACTGGCCCTCTGATATGGGATCCTTCTGTTGCAAACAGAATCTTAACCCTGAAGTGGGGTCTAATCTTATTCCAGGTCTTTGCCTCTACCTAGAGAAGCATTTGAAGCACAGAAACATGTACAGTACACAAAATGATAACATTTATTTAAGGGATGATAAAGGAAACATGAGCATGGGTGGGGAGTGGGCCGGGGAAAATGGAGTTAAGAGGAGAAGTGGAGAGACAGCACCTCAGCATCCGTCTCCCAAGAGGAGGACACACTTCTTCCAGTGTGGGCTGCTTTTGAGGTAGAAGTGTGGTGGAAATTCACATGGCACATGCCCCACCCAGAAGGAAACACGCCCCAGTAAGGGGCAGTTTATTGGACAAGTAGGATAGAATTACATGGGGGCGAGCGCTTGTGACTTGGGACTTCCAGCTCTGCGGCCCTAACCTAGCTACCTGCCTTATCCCATCTCATCCCCCCGCAGAGATTTCCGACCCTTAATCTTAAGGGGGTGCTGAAGGATGATGATCCGTCTTCTGTAGCTACTTCCTGCTGGCCAGGGGCGTTGTCCCTACCTATCCAGGGTTCGGAAACCTCTTCTTAGCTCATCTAATCGATCCATCTCATAAGCTGGGGAATTTTCATTGTCACGGCCAATCGCTGTTGCCCTTGCATGGTCATCATCATTTTGAGAAGCTGTCAAATTCTGAAACAGAAAAGTTAGTCAATCAGGATGAGCATAATTGGAAAAAAGATAAATTGCAAGTTGAATACCCTTCAGGATAGGAGGAGTATATTCCACTGTTTCCCAAAACATGGGCATTGATAGATTGTCTTTGCTGAGATTATAAAACCATCTAGCATAGCCATAAAGACTGGTAGTATCCTTTTCAGTGAATATACAACTGTTAGAGTAGATGCTGCAGATTCCATTAATCACTGCACATGCTCCTGGTTTTGCCAGTATGCATTTTATGGCCAGCTAGTTGTCCATGACTAACTTAGAATACCCACGGACTCAAGCAATTGCTGTAAAATCTGGCCTGAAGTGTAGGCTCTAGTTTGGCCCACACAATAAACAGATTTTAAATGGTTTTCTATGGCCTAGCAGGATCTCCTACTATCATACTACAAAAACTATGGAGTTTTCCTCACAACAGCAGCCTCCTGAGAGAATAAAAGATAGGCAAAACATGTGTGCCACTAAGTGTAGCAGGTTCAATATGATAAAAGCAAAGGTTTTACTCACCCTTTTGCCCCTTGAAGATGTATTCGAGATCTTGGATGCATTCACAAGAGTGAGCAGACTTGTTCTCTGTGTGCCCCTGTGAAGACTAAAGAGGTAGAACTGAGATCCTTGACAAATGTACCCAGCTTGGGTTGCCCTGAATTTGACTTCAGTAGGAGTGCTGAGTAGCACCTGGTAGGATCCCTTTCACCTAGGCTGCAATTGATCAGAGGAAGAGTCTTTGCTCCAAATGTCTCTTAAGACTTGGTCTCCTGGGCACAGGCTGTTCATGATTTTGGGACCTGGCACTGTGAGAATTTATTACCACAGTCCATTAGCCTCTTGTATAGGAAAAAGATTAATAATAAACTCTTACCTGATCTGTATCCCTGAGTGAAAGAGGGTATCAGAGGTGAAGAAGACCTTTTACATAGCATTTTAGACAGGCAGTTTTAAAGCAGCCTTAGGTGCCACTTTCATCCTGAGGGCAATAGGTAAGAATTTAAGCCATCTTTCTGAGGTCTCTTGGCAAAGCTTCACCAGGACTTTCTTAAGAATATGATTAGCTTTTTGACTTTGATGACTAAGGTCTCCAAGGGGTATGGAGATAAGAAAAACCTAAAGCAGTCACCACATGCTGATGTACTTTCTTTATGACAGTATGCAGCCTTTACCCTCCAAATACCCAAGGAACTCCTGGCATTAAACCTTCTCTTCCAAATAGTGAGAGTCATATGTTGATAACCCCCCATTCAGCACATGGCCTTATGACTGAACGCCCACCTCCACTGGCGTCCTTCATGTTGCCTGGTTGAGGAGAACATTCTATGACAGGGTTTGTGTAGTGAAGATACTTAGTGACCAAAAAGCTCAGGTAGCAAAGCTATTTCTAGAACCTGCCCTGCAGCAGCAACTTTTGCTGCCTTATCTGCTAGCACATTTCCCTGAATAGCATGGCTGTCTTCTTGTATCCCCTGCAGTGAATGACAACCACTTTCTAAAGACTCCAGTGCTCCTGAAGGAGAGCTAACATCTCTTCTCCTTATTTAATGGGAGAGCTCTTTGAAGTTGGGAGGGCTCTTCCTTTCCAAATTGCTCCATGTGCATGGAACTCAAGGAAAACAAACTGGAGTCTGGACATAATAACTCATTAGCTCTTCCCCATTGCAAGGTTCTAGTTAAAGCAGTAAGTTTGGCCTTTTGCAATCAAGTGCTAGTTGGCAATGTCTGAGATTCTATCACCTGAGTAAGACCCACCATGGCATAACCTGCCTCTTAAACTCCATACTTTGTGCAACTACTGCTGTCAGTAAACCACTCGGTATCTCAATTTTCTAGAGTTTTTTAAACTGTACCCTTAGGAGTCAGTCCACAGGGATGAATGAGGAGTCATATACAGCTGAAGTTTTGGTAGAACCTGACAAGACAAAAGTGATATGGCTCTCCACAAACCCTGTTATGCTTATACATGTGATTCAGCTCCCTTGTATTAATTGTATTGGATACATTACAAAGGTTTTATACCCCAATTTGAGGTCCTCGGCTTTAAGCAACCTGCCTCCAGGGCTACCTGTGGGTTGATCTATATGTAAGGGCATCTTCATTACCCAATGCCCCTATTAAAATGTCTTAATGAACATGCCTTACATAATCTGGCCAGTTGAAGAGTGCTTCTGCTTTTGCAAAGGTGCCAACAACTCAGGAGCAAATGCACATATAATTGTGGCATTTTCCCAGCATCCAATATGAGCTTATGGGATGTCATCTCTTCAAGAAATGATCTCTAGTGGGGCACTGTTCCTCACACCAGGAGGAAAAGCTCCTGGGTTGTAAAAATAACACAGCCTATGCCTGAAGACCAGCTGCTAGAAGGTTGTAAGCCCTGAAGCTTCTGTGTCCTGAACATTCTCTGGGGCTAGGACCAGCATATCTAGAGCTTGTGACCTCAGGTAGCATTGAAATCCATACCTGGGTGTGTATTCCAGGGCAGCAGAAACCAGGATAAAGCTAAGATAAATGGTAGTGCTGCTGACTAGGTACATGGCTTGCACTAGCTTTGGGGTCCACCATGGTCAGGTGGGGTCCATTTCCATTATCCACTGAAAAGCTGAAGTCACACTTGAGGCTTTCATGGTTGGGCAAAGTCCCTCCCTTGGCTCCTGTTGAGGAACTCCTGCCATGTTAGGAAGTACCACCTGCTGACAGGGGGTGTGGCACATATACCCTGCACACCTGTTTTTAGGACCACTCCAGTCAGATGAAGAGAAGTTTGCTAGCAAAAGGCGAGTACTTGGCCCACCTGCCCATCTTAATAAGGAAAATACCACGATTCAAAATCTCAAGACAGAACTTTTTAGCCAGGTGTATTGCATCCAGTAGAAACTAAATTCCAAGTTCCAGGTTTTTCAACAGCAAGAATGAATTTAAAAAACACACTACAAACTAGAAACAAAGATTTTGGGCACAAGGCCACAAACTGTCCAACTCTCTTCCCATTCCTCTGTCCAGATCTTCCTTATGAAGACATCTCATTGTCGCCTTTCCTCCCCTATAGCTGAAACTTAGGAACAAGGTCCCCACAACTGCATCTTAACAGATCTGCCTGAGATCAAGAGCAGTGAGACTGAGGGAGACACTTTTGAATTTTCACAAGGAGGTAAAAGCTCAGCACAGCTGAGACAGAAACAAATTGAATTCCACTTACCACTGTTGCTTTTTTGGTTCACTGTTGGGCTTTCTCAGACACCTGGCTGGCTCACCCATAAGAAGTGAAGTAAGTGGGGTGGCTGAATGTGTATTCCAGGTCTGTGCCTTCTGCTTATGGAGACATTCCAAGTACAGGCACATATACACTGTCCAGAATGATGAAGTTTATTAAAAAGGTGAAAGAACACACATGCATGGGCATAGGTGGGGAGTGGCCAGCAGCATAAACAGCTGGGGGAAGGGAATAGGAGAGGCAGCACCTCCCTCTGTCCTGGTCTCCAGCTGAAGAGCTTGCTTTTCCTGGACTCTAGACTAAGTTAAGGTCCCATTCCATCTTTCTGTTCATGTTCACCTTGGCAGGCAGCAGGTGATGGCTCAAATACTTGAGTTCTTTCCACTCCCTTAGGAGACCAGGGTGGAGCTCCAGGTTCTGGGCTTCAGCCTGGCCCAGCCATGGCTGTTGTGAGCATTTGGGGAGTGAAGCAGAAGATGGAGATACCTCCCTCTCTCTCTCGCTCTCTCTGTCTTTCACTCTCTGCTTCTGCCTCTGTAAATTTGCCTTTCAAATTAATAAATATCTTTTAAAATTAAAATAAATATAAAGCTATTTCCTTATAACCAAAAAAATTTATTGATTTGAAAGGCAAAGTCTGTGGCAGGGAGTGGGAGGAGAGAGACAGAGAGAGACTCCTCCATCTACTGCTTCACCTCCCAAATGACCAGAACAGACAAGCTGGGCCAGGCCAGAGGCAGGAACTTCTTCTGGGTTTCCCATGTAGGTGGCAGGGGCCCAAGTACTTGAGCCAACCTTCATGTCTTTCCCAGAAGCATTAGCAGGGAGCTGGATTGGAAGTAGAGCAGCTGGAACATGAACTGACTGCAATATGGAGTGTGGGTGTTCCAAGTGGTGGCTTAACCTGCTACACCACAAAATAGAACTGCCACCCAAATTTTTAAACATTGAATTGTCAAGTAGCCATCTAGGTATATATACATCTAGGTGTATATTTATCTAGGTATATGACTCCAAGAATTGGAAACAGGGGTGGGTGTTGTGGTGCAGCCAATGAAACTGCCACTTGGGAGGTCCACATCCCATACTGGAGTGTCTGGTTCCAGTCTTGGTTAATTTGTTTTCAATTCAGCTTCCTGCTAATACTCATGGGAAGGCAACAGATTATGGCTCCAGTTCTTGGGCCTCTGTCAACTATGTGGGAGACCTAGATGGAGTGCAGGGCTCCTGGCTTTAGCCTGGCCTGCCTTCACTGTAGTGGCCATCTGGGGAGTGAGGCAGAGCTCTTTCAGTCACTGTGTCTTTCAAATACATAAGTACATACATAATAGAAGAATTGAAGACAGGGTCTCAAGGAGTAATTTGTACCCATGTTCATAGTAGCATTATTCACATTACCCCTATCTGCAAACAACCCATGGGGCCATCAAAAGAAAATGAGTGTGGGAAAACAATGTGGTCCAAGTGAACCATGGAGTATTATTCAGCCTTCCAAAGGAAGGATATTCTGACACTTGCTACTGCAGGCATGAATCCTGAGGACTGGATAATACAAGCCAGGCACAGAAAGACAAACACCAAGGGCAGGCAGTTAAGATGCCTGCGTACCATGTCAGAGTTACTGGGTTTCACTCTCAGCTCTGGCTCCTGACTCCAACTTTCTGCTGTTGCAGACAGGGAGGAAGCAGCTGATGGCTCATGTGATTGGGTTCATTTCATGCACATGAGAGGCCTGAATTGAGTTCCCAGCTCCTGGCTTCAGCCCAGTCCAGTACTTGCCATTACAGGCCTGCAAGGAGTGAACCAGCTGACGGGAGCTCTGCCCGTCTCTCTGGCTCTCAAAGAGCAAATACTGCATAATACTTGAGACAGAGTTGTCCCATTCATTAAGACAGGAGTAGACCTGGGGGTGCCGGGCTGGGGAGGGGGGAGGGGAGTGTTTCATGTGGAGGAGAGGAGTGGTGGTGATGTGCACACAACCCTGTGAATGCTCTTCATGCCACTACCGTATACTTAAAAAGGGTTAAAATAGTAACATTTGTGTTTTGTATTATTAGCATAATTTAAAAGGTAAAAGAATCCCCCACTCCAATATCTATCAATGCAGACCAAAGTTACTCAATTTGACTATAGCTGCCAATACTAGGCTGGACTTGATAGTGACCCCAGACGTCACATACCGAAGTGGGCCACTGGGGCCAGCAGCTGCCAGTCATCCCCCAAGCAGTCAGTGGCCCCTGCACACATCCCAAAACAGGATGGGGGACTATTTGAGTATAACCTGAGAGTCCAATACATTCATGCTAGAAGGAAGGCTTATCTGCCACATGTACCTGGGTTTCCCTGAGCAAGCACATGGCTGGATTTGTCATCCCAGAAACTCCAGACCTCACTGTGTCACAAGGACTTTTCAGAGCCTCCTCCCCAACTTTTTAGTGGTAACCAGGGCTCAGAATATGAGGTACTTGCGCAGTACCACACACCTCATAGATGTGAAGGCAAGGTTTGTATAGCTCTTGGAAGTCCCAGGGCCTGGTCTCTTTGTTCCTTTTTTCTACTTTTTATGGAATCAAGGAGATGTTTATGCATGCAGTTCTGTAAGTTCTGCTGAATGCACACAGTGTGGCTGTCCTCAGAATCCAGATAGAGAAAGCCCCTGAGGCTGGCACTGTGCCCCAGTATGTTATGCCTCTTCTAAAGGAGCTTCTATAGTAAGTCCTTATAAATGGATACATTCACTACAGCGTTTCAATGTCAGGTGTCTGTTTTTCTGGTGCCTAGCAAATGGTCATGGATGCTAACCAATAAAAATGCTATTCTGCTGACTACTTGAACCATGTGACAACCGAGAAATGTCACTGACCTGACACTGAAGTGAGGTTATGCTCACCTGATCAGCTGCTTGCACATGAGACACAGGACCTGGTGGTGTGGTCTGGTCTGATGCCTGATCCTAGTTCCTCCTATGAGACCCATTGTCTTCACTCCCTGCCTGTTATTTATTACTGCCTCCCCACAATCCCTCCTCCCAGGCAGGGATCATAATTTCCTCTTGAGCATTTCCAGTGAATGAAGCTATGGGGCCACCTTTCTCCTCTGAATTCAGAGGTCTTCCTCTGGGTCTGGCAGGATACAACACACCCGCAGAAGGCAGTTCACCATCCTCCTGCAGACCCCCCAGCGGCCCTTGCTCTTGGCAGCTTTAGCAGGTGAGGTCCCTGCCTCCTCGTCCTGTTGGTTTTCTGGGAGGCTCTCATTCTCTGTCACTCCCTGGGAACAGCTCCTGTCTCCTAAGTGGTCCTCACTGCTGCTGGAGCTGAGAGTGGATATGGAGGACACGGGGCTGTTGTACCCGAGGCCTGGCCAGGGAATGTAGGTCTTCCTCCTTATCCCAGGTTGGGGGCCATCTGTCCTCTCAGCCTCACTGCTGGTGATGCTGATAGTGGCTATTGAGGACAAGGAGCTGTTGTGGCTGAGAACTGGCCCAAGAATGTAGGTCCTCCTCCTTATGACAGGGTGGGGACCACCTGACCTGCCGGCCTCACTGCTGCTGGTGTTGAGAGTGGACGCAGAGGACACGGAGCTGTTGTACCTGAGGACTGGGTGAGGAGTGTGGATCATCATCATGCCAGGTGGGGAACCGTCCATCCTGCGGGCTCCATGGCAGGCATTTAGCCCTGATGACAGGTCACCTTCGGGCAGCACTGGGGACGTGGTGCTGGCTTGGAGACTGGGTGTCAGGGGGACTACTTTACGGCTCAGCTGAAAGCCCAGCTCCACCAGGTAGCTTTGGGCCTCAGCATCCTGGGGAGATGCTAGAAGCTCCACTTCAGTGAGCTCAGGTCTCGCTGCTCCACTGAAGCCCTCCTGGGATTTCCCCCAGCTCAGAGCAGGGGACAAGCAGCCATCCTCCTCCTCACGGCCCAGCTGGAAGAGGAGGCCTGAGAGGTATTTCGGACCTTCAGTAACATGCGAAGGACCTGGGAGCCCCATGTAAATTTCGCTTTCTCCTCCTCTGAGGTGAGTCTGTAGCTGGGCTTTTCCCCACAGGGGGCCGTCCTGTTCTCTGACGCCCTCCTGAGAGCTCAGGCTCTCCACACTTTCACTGAGGTCCTCGTCCTCGGTTGAACTCTGAGTCTGTTTGGCTGTATCTTCACTCAGTTTGGGCCCTTTCTGCTCCATGCTGAGCCACTTGTGGCCCATAGCATCTGCCACTGTGGGCCTCTCAGCAGGGTCACAGGTCATCAGCCAGTCCAGCAGCTGCTCCAGTTCCCTGCTTATAGAGGAGGGGATTAGGTAAGAGCCAGCCAGGATGGCTGCCTTCAAGTATGCAAAGCTGTCCCCTTCAAAGGGCAGCCACCCTTTCACCATGGTGTATAGGAGCACGCCCAGGCTCCACACGTCGGCCTTGTACCCATCGAATTCCTTCCCTAAAAATTCTTCCAGGGCACAGTATTCGAGGCTGCCACACAATGAATTGAGTTGTTGGCCTTCAGCCAATTTTTGGCTTAAGCCAAAGTCAATTAGTTTAATACACATGTTTCTGTCCACAAGGAGATTTTCTAATTTTATATCTCTGTGGACAACGTGCTGCTTATGGCAGTACTCCACTGCTTCCAGGGTCTGACTGAAATAGTAGCACGCTTCTCCTTCCTCAAGGTGGCCGCGCACTGCCACTAACTTTCCAAGGTCCCCCACGCTAATATATTCCATGAACAGGTAGGCTCTCTCTGCCGTGTAGTCTACCTGCATTAGCTGTACAATGTGAGGGTGATGCAGAGAACTCATAATCTCTGCTTCTACCCTTGCTTGTGGGAACTCGGAGGAATCCCCGTGCCCTCTGGCAATGATCTTCACAGCCAACATGGTCCCACTCTCCACATGGCGGGCCAGCTTCACCTTGCCGAAGCTGCCCTTGCCAAGGGTTCTGAGGACTTCATATCCCCGGAACACCTCCTCCTCTGTGTGGGAGGATCTGTCACCACTCATTGTGGGGATATCTTGGTATCTAGTGTACTGGGAGTAACACTAGCTAGTCTCCTACAGCACCTACGGTGACCTGGCAACCCAATGAGAAAGAAACAAATGAATAAGTCAATATGTTAATACTACTAACAGGTAACACTACATTTACTGTACTACAGACTAATTCTATTCACTATACTCAAGTTACTAATATAACAAGAAAAAGAGAAAAAGAAAAGATATTTAAATTAAATACACAGAGATAAAAAGAAAAAAATTGAGTTGGGGGAAAAAACTAAGAATAAAAAATAAAAAAATAAAGCTCTTAAAGAACAAATAGATAAAAAAAACTGCATATGAACTTCACTGTACTAATCAATAAGACCAATTCTAATTCACTATGTGATATTTGAATACAGCAAGAGAAATCAAAAAAGAAATGAGATTTTAAATAAAATACACACAGATAAAAAGGCAAAAATTTGAGGGTGAGAAAAGAGGAAAAAAAAGAACATAATAAACAGCACTGAAAAGAACAGACAAAACAGCAGTATATAACTACACTAATTATTAAGATTAATTCTGTTCACTATGCTAATATTTTGAACAAACAGTACATATGAATTACACTCTACTAATCATAATTAAAACAAAATAGTCAAGCAACAAACCAAAAAAATGGAAAACTATAACAGAAAGTAAAACACCAACTCTTATAATAAACTTACAATACTATTGCTCCTGTGTAAAGCGATTACAGATGAGAAAAAAAATGAAAAAGGTGAGATACACAAGAATTAAACTATTAGAAAATGAAAAAAGAAAATAAATAGAAGAAATGACAAGAGAAATCAAAAAGAAATGAGATTTTTAAATAAAATACACACAGATAAAAAGCAAAAATTTGTGGGGGAGAAAAGAAGAAAAACAAACAAAAAAAAACCCCAACAAAATAAACAGCACTAAAAAGAACAGACAAAACAATATGAAGTACACTAATTATTAAGATTAATTCTATTCACTATGCTAATATTTTGAACAAACACTATATGTGAATTACACTATACTAATCATTATTTCAAACAAAATAAAAGTGACAAAACAAAACAAATGAATGAAATAAACATGATAATAAATAAATAAATAAAATGAAAGAAACAAATGAATAAGTCAACTAACAGGTAACACTACATTTACTATACTACAGACTAGTTCTGTTCAATGTACTCATCTTACTATTATAACAAGAAAAAGAGAAAAAGAAAAGATATTTAAATTAAATACACAGAGATAAAAAAATTGAGTTAGGGGAAGAAAACTAAAAATAAAAATAAAAAAATAAAGCTCTTAAAGAACAAATAGACAAAAAAACTGCATATGAACTTCACTGTACTAATCAATAAGACCAATTCTAATTCACTATGTGATATTATGAACACAACAAGAGAAATCAAAAAAGAAATGAGATTTTTAAATAAATACACACAGATGAAAAGCAAAAATTTGTGGGGAAGATAAGAGGGAAAACAAAACAAAACAAAACAAAAAAGAACAAAATAAACAGCACTAAAAAGAACAGACAGAACTGAAGAGCCAAAGTGACTCTATTTTGAAACAATCAAAAGCAGCCTCCGTTTCCCATAGCAGACCCGAGTCCTTGTAAAAGCAGGCATTCAGGCATTCTGGAGATATCCAGGTTTACCAAGGACAGCTAGCTCAGCAGACCAAGGCCAGCTCAGTAGAGATTACCAACTGAGGTAACTTCCTGAACCCAAGCCAAACAGAGACACACACCCCCCACCCTGCCCAATCACAAAAGGACCCACACCTTAAGCCCTTGATGATGTATCTCCCCTTTAAAAGCATCCCCAAACAAAGACCTGGGCCTTTCATCCTTCCTCTGCTGCGCCGGTTGGTTGGATGAGGTCCCTGTCGCGGCTTGTACCTTTTTAATAGAAATCTTGCTTTTGGATTTCAGTGTGATGAGGTTGTTGATAGTTTATTGGAGGATCTACTTATCTGGGCATAACAAAAACAACAGTATATGAAGTACACTAATTATTAAGATTAATTCTATTCACTATGCTGATATTTTGAACAAACACTATAATGAATTACATTATACTAATCAGTGATTCAAACAAAATAATCAAAAGTGACAAAACAGAAACATAGAGAACTGTAACAGAAAGAAAACAACTCTTATAGCTAAACTTACAATACTAAACCTCCTATGTAAAGAAAGTGATTACAGATGAGAAAAAGAAGGTGAAATACACAAGAATTAAAGAATTAGAAAATGAAAATGGAAAATAAAGAGAAGAAATGACAAGAAAAATCAAAAGAGAAATGAGGAGATATTTAAATAAAATAAAAATGCACAGATAAGAAGTAAAAGATTGTGGGGAAGGGAGAGGACAAAATGAACAGAACAATAAAACAGCAAAAACAACAAATATGGAAAAACTTATAGCTTTGTCCAAGTCTCGCTGGCCAGCATCCAACTGCTTCCTGGAAAAAACGGACAAAGTCCTCTGCCCAGCCAGGGATTCAAACAGGCAGTTGGAATGACATCACAATGCACCTTCCAATGTCAGAGCAAGAAATGGACCAATCACAGTTGGTCATACTCCATGGCAGTTTCCAGAAGTATCTGTCCATTTGATTAAAGAGAAAGTACCCCCAAAAGATCTTTGCTTAGGTTAGTGATAGAAATTGATATTTATTTTTTGCAAAATTAGCACATGTAGAATGTTCCAATTGCCTCCTAAAGTCTACACCCCAAATAGCCATTCCTTTCAATTTAACATCTGAGTGATAGGTCTCAACATGATGGGACCACTTTCCTGGCATCATGACACTACCACAAAATGTTCTGTTGCCCATGACAGCTCAGGTGCGTTGTTCATATCTGTAGAGCTGAGAGGGAGGTAACTTCCATCATTTCCCCTATGTTCATGAGCAAATTGCTCATCGGAATCCCTGGAGGACCACAAGGCAGAGGGCTGATGTGGTGCAGTGCAGAAGGCAAAAAAAAAAAAAGCACAAACTGAGGAATCTGTAGCCCGCAAAGCTGTGCTTCAAATTGTAGGGAGAAAAGCAAGACATTCCTAGAGATTTCAGTGCTTTTTAGCTATTGTAACAAGACCTTGTCTTAGGTATTTGAAAATTTTCACACTGTTTTCAAGGCTGGGGAGAGTAAAATTGAGGACCAGCAGACTCAGTAACTTGAAAGGACTCACTTTCTGCTTCTATGTTGGTGCCCTCGTCAAAAAATTGATAAGGAAAGGGAAGGCTGGAGGCCTGCTATTTACCATATGTCTAAGAGTTGAAAGGGAGCATTGTACCCCTTTAAATATACCAGTATGACTGAATTCAACATCCAAACATTAGGAAAAAGATGGCTCCTTTTTGAAGTGTCCTCACAAGGTGGAAGAAGTGAATGGACCCCTCCAAAGTCCTTGCAGAAAGTCCCTCATCCTGGGTCTCGTGTTGAGGTGCACTGGGTTAAGCTGCACTCTGCGATGCCAACATCCCTCTACATGCACTGCGTTAAGCTGCACTCTGCTGCCGGCATCTCTCTATGTGTGCTTTAAGGATTCAATAAGTTGGGGGGCTAGGGAATGATACAATGAAGTTTGTGATTTAGGAAAGTTCCTCTTGGGATGTTAATGCAGAACCTATAAGTAAAACCTCTTCAAGACTGGAGCCACTAAGAGGCCCTAAAGTAATAAGATCTAGAGTCTAGGTCACAGACCCAACTGACTGAACAGAGGGAATGAGAGAGCTGGAAGCCCCCAAGATGACTCTTCTAAAATGACTGAAAAACACAGAAAGTGCACCTTAGAGAACTTTGTTTTTGAGAATGAATACTTATGAATATCCATAATGAAGAAGAAACTCAAGGATCTAAATAACAAAAAATTATCTGATTATAAAATGGGCAAATAACCTGTACCGATATTCTCAAAATAGGATTTACAGCAACCTACAAGTATATGGAAAAATGTACAATGTCACTAGTCATCAGGGAACTGCAAATCAAAATTACCATCTTATTCCAGTTAGAACAGTATGATCAAAAGATAAAAGTAATAAATGCTGGTAAGGGTGTAGGGAAAGGGGATCTCTTTGTAGGAATGGAAATGACTGTCGTTGTTTTGGAAAACAATGTGACCAATCCTGAGAAACCTAGAAACAGAACTGCTATATGCCTCAGCTATCCTACTACAGGACGTGTATCTATGAGTTGAAAGTATGTTGAAGAGATGTGTGTACTCATGTGTAGCATTGTACTATTCACAGTAACCATGATGTAGAATCAGGTGCCCATCAACTGGAGAATGGATAATGAAAATGTGGTATACACATGCAAAGGAATGCTAACAGAGTGGGAGGCCAAGGCAACTTTGGCTTGCTGACAAAGACATAACAGAA